ATCATGAAACCGTACCTATGTTAGTTCTCTACGTAAAAATATTAATTTGCAAAATTGCATTCAATCTTAAACTTCATTCCGTAATTATACATTGAATATACTGTAAATTAATTATATATTTATGCTCTCAACATTATATTAAACATACAATTATATATATTTAATTTTGTTTTTTGATAAATATATTTTTTTATAGTTTTTTTAAAACCGGAAACAGGCTCAAAAAATGAGGAAACTGACTCTAAAAAAAGAGGAAACCGATCAACAAACTAAGAATTTAAAACTTTTTTGAAAACCGGAAACGGACCCAAAAATGAGGAAATGGATTGAGAAAAAGGTGAAACCAATCAACAAACTGAGAATTTCAAACTTTTTTTTTGAAAACCGGAAACAGACTAAAAAATGAGGAAACGGACCCAAAAAAAGAGGAAACTGATCAACAAACTGAGAATTCAAAATTTTTTTAGAAAACCGGAAACAGACCCAATATATGAGGAAACGGGCCCAAAAAAAGAGAAAACCGATCAACAAATAAAGAACTTAAAACTTCTTCTGAAAACCAGAAACGGACCCAAAAAAAGAGGAAATGGACCCAAGAAAAAGAGGAAACCGATTAACAAACAGAGAATCTAAAATTTTTTATGAAAACCGGAAAAGGATCCAATAAATGAGGAAACTGACCCAAAATAACAAGAAACGTTCAAATGTAAATATAGCGGAAACCGATCCAAAATATTCGGAAACCCCCCCCACCAAGTAAAAATATTAAAGATTGATACATCAAAATCTTAAATCACATTCTTTGTGGGAAGTCCTGTATTTCCTAAAAGTTGGAGGAAATATTCCGAACAGATTTTGTGGAACAATTTTGATCCAGAAAGAGATGGAAACTCCAGTAAGCCAAAACCGTAATATTTTATTTTAAACCAGATACTAACGAAAATTAATCGTAAATAATGAACTTTTTCTGAAAACCGGAAATGGACTCAAAAAAGGGGAAACAGATCAAAAAAAAATGGGGAAACTGATCAACAAACTGAGAATTTAAAACTTTTATAAAAACCGGAAATGGACCCAAAAAAAAGAGGAAACAGACCCTTAAAAAAGAGGAGACCGATCAACAAACTGAGAATTTAAAACTTTTTTGAAAACCGGAAATGGACCCAAAAAATGAGGAAACGGATCAAAAATATTGGGAAATCCCTCAAAAGTATAAGACCCCTGTAAATCTGAATCTGACCTGAAAATCAGGGAAGCAGATTAAAAAAAGGGAAATTCCTCTAAATATCCAATTCCGTGTTGAGGCGTTTCCATAGCACCATACAATACATATACTCTCCACTTGAATTAGGGTTTTCACTCAAAATATTTTGCAATTAAATTGCGGAAAAGTTGTCTAATAATTTGAGTAAAATTTGCATTTATTTTCAAATAATTGTGCATAAAAGTGCAATAACAATTGTTATTTTGACCAAATTATAATGAATTTTGTATTTCCTTGTCTCATTAAATTTCAGAATGAATGCACAATGCTGTGCAAATAAATGTGCAATTTTGTGGATAAGCTTAAAAACTGTTGCGCAAAAGAATTTACTGTTTCGTGGAAACCCTAGCTGAAATGGAGGGTTAAATAAACAATGCTAATTATATTTTATTTTAACAATATTTTAAGAAAGAAAGCTCTTATGTAAGCTAAAGCTGGCTAAACAACTGGACCAAATTGTCTGACAATTATGGTCAGGCAACATCTGGAACTTAAGATAAATTCATGATTAAATAAACTGTGAGAGTAACAAAGAGTAACAAATCTGGGCAACGCTGGATTCTCCATATATATTAGTTTGTAAGGGATGAGCTTCGGGCATCATTTTTAAAATGTTACAAAAATGTGAGGTTTTCATTTCTTTTTGGATTTTTAAAAACATAGAAACCTATGTTTTGCAAGAAAGCATTTAGATTTCTTAAAAACCAAAATAACAAGCAAATAGCAAGATTTCATATTTTGATCCATGGAGTTTTTCTTTAAAACAAACAATCATTTTCTTTGTAAAAATTGTTTACTTTTTAAAATAATTGGTTTTTTTAAATGATACTTTGAGGCTATGTACAATGTACATAGTACATACTAGATTGTTTGAAGATATTCGCGATTTTTTGGGTTTTAAGTCCCCAAGTGAATTAAAACTAAAAATTATCAACAGCCGGCAGCCGTAGTACATTTGAATTTCCGAGCCAGGTCAACCTTTCCGGTCCCAGGTTGTACTGTACCTTGCTCTATGGACAGGACTAAACGGTGCAACAAGGTTGACGCGGTCAGACTTTATGCTTCATATAGGTTAAATTTGCTTTTACTAAAGGGGCAGAGGTGCGTGTTTCTAAGTCCTTGATTAAAATAACCATATATAGCTAAGGTCATTCAGACAGTTGAAATATGTTGGAGCTTAAAATATTAATGTTTTTTATTTAAAAGTTTACGTAACAAAGGGACGATACTGTATTGTGTCCCAGAAACAGATACAAGTCAGCTATTGGACTCCAGGACAAAATGTTAATTTATCCTCTGTAAAACAGTTTATAAAACTCAATTTCACCAAAAATAACTAAATTAACAATTAAATCAAGAATCACAGCCATGAAAATTTTTATTACAATCCTTACCCAATCTTGACCCAGCTCCTAAATGAGGCTGTTAAAGGGACAGTAAAGGGTAGGGTTTTTAAAAACGATCGTTTGGTTTTTTGTTTTTTCATCACTGTTTTCATAACTATATATATATAAACTAGAGAAACTTTGAATTCTTTGAATCTATAAATTTGTTGTCGGAAAGGAACAAGATTCTGACGATGAACAGATAGACAACGGAATAACCCTCAAATCAAAATCGATAATGCAGAAAACTCNCCTACTGTCAAGCTGACATTTTCGGGCCCGTCTTTGCTCACAAAGACGGTGCCAAGACCAAGAGGTGGATATTGGTTATTCTCTGTCTTTGCAGTCGCGGGGTGCAACTGGAGATCCTACACAACTACAGCTCTCAAAGCATCACCAGAGGATTCAACAGAACTTTCGCCCTGCGAGGTACACCGCGCATCATTTGGATTGATGCTGGTCTCAACATTGTTAAGGCTGGTAAAGACCTGATTAACACTGAGATGAAGGTCATCTCCAGCCTCAACCTGAAGTTCACCTCCATTGAATTTAGAACTACTCTTCCCAAACATCATGCCGGCATCGGAGCAGTTGAAAGAATAATCGGCTCTATCAAAAACACAGTTAACAAGTCACTCGTCGGCCCTCACCAGTTGACAATGGACGACGAGGAATTACTCACCTGGACGCATGGAGTTATTGAAAAACTCAACAACCGACCTCTGATCCTCGGAGCTCCACTGGGAATCACCCTCACTCCCAACCACGTTCTCCAGGGGTTTAGAGAGGGTTTCGGAGACAAAGTCAACCCTGTTGCTCCTATCAACCAACAGATCTCCAGGTGGAACTTAGCTCTCAACATGTTCCACTCACTATGGGAGCAGGAATATACCCGACACAGATTCACTGTCACCTGGAAGAACCAGGGCAGCCTTCCCCAGATCGGAGATATAGTCCTGTTCAAGAACGAGCCCATATACAAGAATCCTATTTCTGCAGCCAGGATGGAACAACTCCTTCGTAGAAAGAACTGAGACGTCTACGGCGCTACTATTAGCTACTGCCGCGAAGTAGGAGGGCGGAAGATAGTAGTAGACAGACACCTCAATCAACTGTTTCCATTCATGAACCTGGAAACTCAGAACCCCCAGGAAACTGTCCACAGCCTCACCTCGGACTCAGCAGAAGCAAGGAATTTAACCTCAGCTCCAAGTTCCAGACCAGAGCCTACACAGGATGAATTCCACCCGGAGCTCACTGAAATCAATCAATAGAACTACACCCAGCATCACCGCAGCATCCTTCCAACATTTCTGTTTATTTTATTTTTTTTATTTTTTACACAAAACAGGAAATTTAACTCAAATTTCTCAATTTTCCTTAAAATAATTAAGCCTTAAATCTAGGATTCTTGTTATTGACACAATTATTCGCATTTCTGTATTTAATTAAATAATGGCCTTTTCCAGTTTAATTATTCCTTTATTTTAACTCTTTCGTTCAATTCATATTCAAAATTTCAGCCCGTTCTCAGTTTACACATCATTTTCATTTTATTTTATTCTCCCTTTAAATTATTTTAACAAACAAGCACAAGAGAATGTGTGTCACTATTTCAATTGTACTTCACTGTTTATTCTCATCATGTATTATTTGCTAAATGCTGCATTAATTAATGCACCTCGTAGTTACTTCTGTTTCTTTAAATCAATCATTCAAACTATATGTTTCAGTATATTGTTAATGGTTTTCCTTTGATTCTCGTATGTTACCCTAACATCCTCGAACCCTGCCTGGGGTCAGTGTCAACCATTAACACTAAGACCCCCCCCCCTATGTAATGTCGTCTTCAACCTAAAGCTCCTCTCGGAGACGAAACCAAACCAAACAATTTCAGCCCACTTCTCTTTGTTCTCCGACAACGGAGTATAAACGCTTTTATTAATTGTGAACCACTTCAAAGTTAAGCAAGAATATTTTCATATAAAGAATCAGTGACTTTCCTTAACATTTAATTGTCACTCTTTTCAGAAGTTTAATGTATAAAAAGCGTCTTAGGACTCTCTGACCCACAAATAAGCAAATAGATCGTAAGAATCTTTTCATTATAAATTCGTAAACCATTGTAATAATTATTTATCATTATTCATTTCATTTTTTTTAGGAAATAAAGAGTTTTCTGCATTATCGATTTTGATTTGAGGGTTATACCGTTGTCTATCTGTTCATCGCCAGAATCTTGTTCCTTTCCGACAACAACTGTACTTTCTACTTTTGATTATTTAGTTTTTAAGATTATAGATTTTTTGAAAATTGGAGTTTTAAAATGAAATATATTTATATTAATACGCGCAAACTCACACTGTTTTTTGAATAATAGAAAGAATTTTTCAATTTTATATAGCGCAGTTTCGTACATCTAAAGATGGTCAGCCAATTTTTTTTTCCAATGCTGAAACTGTGCGCGTTTGTGCGTGCGCAAAAACACACAATTTTAGTTCAATAGAGAAAATTGGAGTTTTAAAATGAAATATATTTATTTTAATACGCGCAAACTCAAACTGTTTTTGAATAATAGAAACAAATTTTCAATTTTATAAAGCGCAGTTTCGTACATCTAAAGATGGTCGGCCAATTTATTTTTACAAGGCTAAAACTGTGTGCGTTTGTGCGTGCACAAAAACACACAATTTTAGTTCAATAGAGAAAATTGGAGTTTTAAAATGAAATATATTTATATTAATACGCGCAAACTCACCCTGTTTTTGAAAAATAGAAACAAATTTTCAATTTTATATAGCGCAGTTTCGTACATCTAAAGATGGTCAGCCAATTTATTTTTACAAGGTTAAAACTGTACGCGTTTGTGCGTGCGCAAAAACACACAATTTCAGTTCAATAGAGAAAATTGGAGTTTTATAATGAAATATATTTATATAAATACGCGCAAACTCACACTGTTTTTAACAAATAGAAAGAATTTTTCAAATTTATATAGCACGGTTTCGTACATCTAAAGATGATCTGACAATTTTTTTTCCAATGCTGAAACTGTGCGCGTTTGTGCGTGCGCAAAAACACACAATTTTAGTTCAATAGAGAAAATTGGAGTTTTAAAATGAAATATATATATAAATACGCGCAAACTCACACTGTTTTTAACATATAGACAGAATTTTTCAATTTTATATAGCGCAGTTTCGTACATCTAAAGATGGTCGGCCAACTTATTTTTACAAGGCTAAAACTGTGCACGTTTGTGCGTGCGCAAAAACACACAATTTCAGTTCAATAGAGAAAATTGGAGTTTTAAAATGAAATATATTTATATAAATATGCACAAACTCACACTGTTTTTAACAAATAGAAAGAATTTTTCAATTTTATATAGCACAGTTTCGTACATCTAAAGATGATCTGACAATTTTTTTTTCCAATGCTGAAACTGTACGCGTTTGTGCGTGCGCAAAAACACACAATTTTAGTTCAATAGAGAAAATTGGAGTTTTAAAATGAAATATATTTATATAAATACGCGCAAACTCACACTGTTTTTAAGATATAGGCAGAATTTTTCAATTTTATATAGCGCAGTTTCGTACATCTAAAGATGGTCGGCCATTAAAGATATATAAAATCAGTATTCAAACATTAACAGATGCTTAGTCTTGTAAAGAGAAGTAAGACAGTTAACCTAGCTATGCAAGCTATGTTACAATACTTATATAACTAACTAAAGATAGATCTCCGCGCACACCTCAACTTGATGACCCCATTTTTTTTTTTTTTTTTGAGGCAAGAAACACCAATACCACAAAATTTGGGTCCGATCGGTTCAGCCGTTTTGACGTCTGTTTGTTTGTTTGTGTCCAATAAACAGACAAACAGACAGACAAGTCAAATTTTTATACAGTTGAATTAGATTTCTATGTTTATAATTTTAATAACTTAAAACATTAATTATTTTCATTCAAATATATAAAATCTAGAAAAAGGACAACATCAATAATAAAGGTTTCAAAGGTACTCTTGTGGGTCAGGCATTGTCATCGTTGAAATTACGCTTACAGTCCCTTTAAATCTGCTGAATTTTTCTGACAATGAAAATGATTAGAAAATAACAAGTTTTGAGCATTATTGGACCAAAATCCTGCAAAAGAAAGGGATAATTATGAAAATGAAAAATAACAAATATTTATAACAAAAAAAAAAGCTTCTGTCGTAAGCGATTTGCATAATTATTACTACCATTGTTATCGTCTATGCAATGAATTTAATAATTTGCCTGCGATAGAAAAAAGTTTTATAATATTTAATTTTGGAGAAATGGGCTCACTCACGGCCAGATCTGAACACAAAGTCTAATGTATGTATTGTATGTTATTAAAGGGACCGTAAGCTTATTTCTAATGACCTTTAATGTAAAGATGGTATATGCAATACCATTAAAAGCTTTGTCTGATCAAGTATGAATTAGATATCAATGTTTATAATTTCAAAAACTGAATATTCAATTGTGCAGTTATTCTACAAAAGTGACTAGCGCATTTCTACTGCAGGAAAAAGTATACGAATATTCAGAATTGAACACTTTTAATCTTATGAAAACGACACAATATTTCACATTTTTATTCAGGAAAAGGTTTCTACGTATCATTGTGAATCAGCATTGCCATCTTTTTATGGAGGGTCACTTAAAATTACGCTTACAGTCCCTTTAAACGAATATAGTTATATATATACATACACTATATCAGTATTCATATATCCACTCAGTATCATGTTATTATATTTTCTTGTATAAATACATTACATAGCTAAATGCATTTACAATACTCAAGATTCAGGCTGCTTCGCAACCACAAATATTACCAATTACTAAAAACTATATAGATTTCCAGTCTTTTAGAACATCATGAACATTTTCTGTATATTTTTAAAAAGTATCTTCACAAATCTATTTACCACAGCACGTTTTAGAGCATATATACTCACTCAGAAATTGACAAGCAACTTAGTCATCTAACTGTTAGACAGCCTCTACTTTAAAGTGTTGGAGTGCCTTGGCCTTTGGTTCTACCTCACCAACTTACTTATACTTTTTTATAGCTCTAGACATATGCATTTTAAAAATGCAATGCACTTGTTTTTAGTTTATGCTTAACGGGCAAAGAACTACTCGATTTTTGTGTGACATAGCATGCCCATCTTGGTTTGCAGTTTATACTATATAGATAACTAGCTGAAGGGCCCGGTGTTGCCCGTGTAAAAAAAAAAATTTGAAGAAAAAAATTTTTGAAAAAAATTGGAATTTTTTAAGCCTATAACACCCCCCGGTCACCCATGAGTGTCCACAAAAAATGTTAGCCCAATCGGCTATACGCAACATACGTCTTGTCTTGATGAACATAAATATCAAATATCTTTTAACTTTAGAATCCATTTACTATTTTTGTCCTACAAAATTCTCTGAAACAAAGAAACTTTAACAGTTCTGCTTAATTCTATCAAAACTTTACATTTTAAATCTCATTGTTTATTTCATGCCCATCAAATTGATTATAGTTTTTATGAAATTTTGGAAGATTTTGAAGTGAATTTAATCGAAGGTAAAAACATCAAATTTGTCGAGCTCATTTATTTTTTACAGTGAGAACCAGATAATTGTGGAATGAATTTATTTTTTGTTATTTTTTTAGATGTTTTTTAAACCGTTGCAACTGTCGAATATTTGAATATTTAGAAATAGTTTATTTGCAAAATCCATATCGTCATTTTCACACGAGACAAAAACTCTTTTTAATGTCCTTACAGAGCTGGGAACTCGATATCACTGCAAGATCTGATATTTTCTTAATCCACAGATTAATTTAATCTTTATTCCAAATCCGGCATGGTAATCGAACGATGTTTAATTGTGCCTCATCTCAAAAAACAGTTTTCACAAATCAGATTTATTTTTAGAAAGGAATTTAGTTTTGACACACTCTCAATGTGTCTAACCCTTGTATTATTTTTTTTAGCCTGATATTGT